TGTTGAGAAAATTGATCATTTCTTTGAGATTTCCTAATTTTGTGGAATACAGATTTTTAATGGGTAACAAAATGATTCTTTGTATTTCCTTGGATCTCTTGTTATATCCCTTTTTTGGTTTCTGATTTTGTTATTTTGCACATTATGCCTCTCCTCTTTAGTTAGTTTGGAAAACGGTTTGTTTATCTTGTTGATTTTCTCAAAGCACCACCTCTTTGTTTTATTAATTCTTTGTATTTTTCTCCTCCTATTTATTGATTGCATCCCTAACTTGACTATTTCCTGCCATGAATTACACTTGTGTGTGTTTGCTTGTTTTTGTTCTAGATCTTTCAGGTATACAGTTATGTCACCTTTATGAGGTCACTCTAATTTCTTCATGAAGACAATTGGTGCTACAAACTTTCTTCTTAGTACTATTTTCATTGTACTACTTTCAAGTTTGGGTATGTTGTGCATCCATTTTCATTGCATTCTAGGACATCTTTAACTTCTTTTTATTTCTTCTTTGACCCAATGGTAACTCAGTAGAGAGTTGCTCAGTTTTCATGAGTTTATAGGTTTTCTGTTGTTTCTGTTGTTGTTGAAATCTAGCTTTAATCCATGGTTCTCATAAAATAGAGAGGGTTATTTCAATTTTTTGTATCTCTTGAGACTTACTTTGTTGGTGAGTATGTGGTCAATTTTGAAGAAGGTTTCATGAGGTGCTAAGAAGGTATAATCTTTTGAGTTTTGGTGAAATGTTCCACAGACAGCTTTTATGTACATTTAAGTCATAATGTCTGTTAGTTTCATTATTTCTTTGTTTATTTTATAGTTAAACTATCTGTCCATTAGAAGTGGGGTACTGAAGTCTGTCATTTTTAATGTGTTGGGTTCAGTGAGTGATTTAAGCATTAGTAATGTTTCTATGACAAATGTAGCTACTATTGCATTGGGCATAGCTGTAAAGAATTAGGATGTCATCCTGGTGGATTTTTACTTTACTAAGTATTAAATGTCCTTCTCTATGTCTTTTGATTAAATTCAATTTGATATCTATTTTATTAAATATTAGAGTAGCCACATCAGCTTGCCTCTTAGGTCCATTTGATTGGAAATTCTTTTTCAATCAGCTTACTCTGAGGTGATATCTATCTTTGAATTTGCAGTGTGTTTCCTGTATGCAACAGAAGGATGGCTCATGTTTTCATACCATTCTGTTAACCTGTGTCTTTTTATTGGTGAATTGAACCCGTTGATGTTAAGAAATGTTAACAACCAGTAGTTGTTGGTCATAACAGTGTGTGTGTGTGTGTGTGTGTGTGTGTGTGTGTTTCCCTTCTTCAAATTTTGCTGTTGTGAGATTATCTATTGCCTGAGTGAGTTTTCCTGGCTATAGTTAACTTGCTTGGGTTGGAGTTTTCCAAACTACAAGAGACCACAGATGATAGCTCAGACTACTATTATATCCAGTAAAAATTTCAATCACCATAGATAGAGAAAACAAAATATTTCATGACAAAGTAAAATTTAAACAATATTTAATCACAAATCTAGCCCTACAGTAGGTGCTAGAAGGAAAACATCAACCCAAGTAAGGTTGTCATGCTTGAGTCTGTAGTTCCTGTTCACATATGAAAATTTTCTGTCTGGATTTTCTCTATGATTTTTTTATTGTTTATTTTTCAGTTTTCAACTCTTAAATAATTTCCTTCACCTGTCTGTTTTTTTAAAACATTATTTAAGGGATTTGTTGATTTCCTCCAATTACTGTTTATATTTTCCTTAATTTCTTTAAGACATTTACACATTTTCAGTTTAAGCACCTCTAGCCTCTTCATGAATTTCTTTTTCAAAGTAATTTTATTGTGTTTCGGCTGTGCAAGTATTCAATTCTTGCTGTTATAATATGGCTTGAATCTGATGTTGCCATATTACCTTGGCAATAGACTTAATTATAGATTAATATTCTGAAATCCAATGTTAGTGGTTAATATATGTAAATATATCCTTGTTCTGAATTACTGATTCCTGTGTTTTTGAAAGTGAACTGATAAATATTTCTTTAAACTGTTTAATGTAATAGAACGTCCTTAACTTCCTTTTACAAATTTTTCCCATTAAGGGATTGTAATTATTAGAATTTCATTTATTCTCTTCCAACATGTGCTTGTCAGTTTGCTGTTATTTTGTTAAATATATATAGTATTAGTACTGCCTTTTGAAAAATAGAACAGAGTAAAACCATAGGTGGCAGAAATGTCACTTTTTTATTTGTGAATATATGTAAGCATTTACAAGTAACATGGTCTGTGTTGAGGTACACACACACAAAAAATCAATTAAAGAAAATGACTAGTAACTTGAACACAAACAAGAGGGGGTAAATAGGGAGTTTTGGATAGAGAAATGGGGAAGGAAAATGATGTAATTGTATTATAAAAAATTAAAAATATATTTTAAAAGTGACTAGTGTTGGATTTACAAATCCAAATTTTATTTCTTATCATCTGATAATTTTCATCCAAATAAAAAATGATTTTTTCATTAGTGCTGTGTGTACTAATTTTTCACATCAAAATAATTTCCACATTGATAGTTTTTGAAATAGGAAGCCAACCTTGGCATGTGTAGACTAGAACCATTTGACACATAGTTTATAGAAATATTGTTTCTATATTGAATTGTCATTCAATCTAGGCAGGAAAAAAGTTCAAATTTGAGTGACAGCTAGTCAGAATCCCCTTTAATATTTATCTGGATTATTTATCTGACACACATTTATAGAACAAAAAACATACATAGAATTTAAATGCATATATGAACATACATATATGATGTGTATGCATAATAGAATGTATATATGCCTAATAATAATGACATATTACATATGCTGCATACATATACATAAATATATGTCAATTAAATTATATATAATACAGTTATGAAAATTTCTTGTTTTATTTAACTAAAATGTAAATTCATCAAGTTATTTTTCCCTTACCTCCTTTCTACCTGTCTTATGTGCGCTTCCTCATCTAAAATCTAGTTTCCTCTGCTTTAACAATGTATATTACATATACATAAACATGAAGAAACCTCTAAATGCAGTCTTCTGAGTTCATTTAGATCACCTGAATGTATGTATTACTAGATCTGATCACTTGTTATTGGAAAACCAACCAGGGATCTCAAGCATGGAAACAAGCATATGCATGTACACAAACATGATATTATGCACATATGCACATATATAACATTTACATAAACATGCATAAAATACTTGTAACCGAAAATTTCATAATAGAGAATAGTAAAATACATCTCCAGAAATCAAATTGCTTATTAATCAATTATGTCATACATATCCTGGACATTCACATCACACAGTTTTTTCAACAAATTTCAAAGGAGTTTGATTTAATTTTGAACACATTTAACTGATTAAGTTGTGTGATACATAAGTCAACTGTGCTAGATTTTCAATTTAGTACAAGGATGGTGATGACATATTAAGTTATCAAGTATTTAGGTGTGGTTACAAGAAAATTTTGCAAGAATTTGTGTTGTTTTTGTTGTTGTTTGCTTTGTTATTTTTATTGGACAGGGGGAAATGCTCTAGCAAAATGAGTGGTTCTTCATGGATCTCACCCTATATCCTTTGCCTTGCCATTATTTGTGCTATCCTGGTTTAAAAACCTCTAAGCATGTATAATAATAGGAATTTTTGATTAGTAGATTATGTGGACATGACATTGATGAGGGTTTAAGAAAGCAAAGATGTCTGGTTAAGGTCTAGACACAAGGGTTAGGAATCTATGCAAATAATTTATATATAAGCATAAACAGGAAGCAGAGAAATTAAAAATTGTATGTCCGAAGCACAAACTAAAAACACTTCCTAACCAATGCATTGCACACAACTTCAATAAATGGTTTACAAGACATTTGTTCACAATACGTTAATGATTATACCAGATTATGTTTAAAAAAATTATATGGAGCTTCTGTTTCATATGTTGAAGAACTGGGATGGTTCAAATCGACATGAGTTGGTGGAAATATTTTATTTCCATAACTTTTATTCTTATCTTATCTTTTTTAGTTATTTGAAGATATAGATTAACAATTATATTAATAAAATTATTGATAAATATTGCTAAAATATGCTGCATTGTTGAAAAACATTTTTTAAAAAGTACTAAGTTGAAACAGAAACAAAACAATCTCATCATAGTCATAGTTTATACTTTCAGACGTTAAGATATAAAGAGTTTCATAGGTAAAGAGGGTCTGATTTTATGAACTTGCATTTTGCTGGGAAAACTCATGAAGATGTCTGTGAAAAGACTTGAGAAGTTTACTTGATTTTATTTTCATTCTTATACACAAAAAATATAAAATTTCAATAAATATGAAGTTTTCATAAGGTTCATGAGTGGAAATTTTATGTTTATAGGGACATAGGCAAAAATTCAATATTTTAAAATAAGTATTTGAAATCTTTCAATGTTTATAGTCAATGCAAATAATAATTATATCTATATGTTGAATTTTAATAATGTTTACTTTATGTGTCTGTTTCATTTTATTTTCTACATCAAATGGATATTTACAAAGTTAATAAGGAGGCTTTAATCAATATACTTTTCTTCATTTGATATTCATTCTAGCTCATTTCAATAATGTTTAACAATGTTTTTCAACATTATATGTTTTGAGCTACAGACTGCTTCAACATTTTTAATATTTTTCTCAGGTTCCTCCAGTAATCATATATCTTGGAAAGATCACAAACAATATGTGTCAATGGATTATTCATTTCATTAATTACAAATCAACCAGTACAGTTCTCAGATCTTGTGGGAATGAAGCCTATTTATATAGTTATATGTTCTTGTTTCTCTGTTAACTAGTACAGTTCTTATTAGTAGCCATTTTGCTTGTTTTACTGAACTAAATTCATTATTGACTGAGATGTAACTCTGAATTTACTATTAATATATCTTTCTACATAGGAACATTTGTCATCAAGGTAACAGCCAATGATGCTGATGACCCTGCAACTGGTTATCATGCTCGAATCCTATACAACTTAGAACAAGGACAACCATATTTTTCTGTTGAGCCAACAACAGGTATTTATGAATTTAAAAAAAAATGAAACCCTCTATGGTTCTCAAGTGGGAAGGTGTGAGCATATATCACCTGTATACAACGATGTTCTCTAGGAGATGCCATATTTCCACATTGGGTGTGATGCCATTCCCTAATATTTAATTTTACTTAGACTTTAAACAGTGTTTCTATGATTTAGATATTAGAATTTACATATGATGTCACGGGATATTTATATGTTTGATAAAAAATTTATATAATGATTTTGATAAATCTATTAGATAAATAAGATCAAGGCAATTAAAAAATATTAGAAGACATTGCCAGATTACAAGACCAGATGACATTTACCAAAAAATTGATAGTACCTTAAAAGTTCCCAACTGTATGAGACATCAGGGAACTGAAGCTAGAAACCACAAAGACATGTCCACATTCCTAACCAGATGTCTAGGAGTCACTGTATATTGTATTTGTGGTATCATATGGCAAAGAAACATAGCTGTCTATTTTGTACATTTTTATCTTTGAGACAGGGTCATTTTATATTTTTAAACAAAGTTTATTTACCATTGCAGTTCCTGTTTGTATTAATCACTTGAACACTCTTGACAAAAAGAGGAATTTATGTGTTTTTTTAAAAATGTATATTAAAAATTAGTTATTATTTTATGGGGATTGAAGCCAGGGCCTTACACACATTGAAAAGAAACTCTACCAAAAACTCTATTATCAGTTGTAAACATATCCATTGACTATTTAATATTTAAATGACACTATTTGTTCAATGATATTAACTATTACCACCCACTCCAAAGCAAAGCCCTTATACATCTTACTCTTCTGAACTTATAGGCTATAAAGATTCAACATCCTGGTTATTCTTTGCTTTACATCTAGTATCCACTTATGAGTGAGAACATACCATGTTTGTCTTTCTGAGTCTCGGTTACCTCACTCTGGATGATATTTTCTAGTTCTATCCATTTGCCTGCAAACCTCATGATGTCATTGTTTTTCTCTCCTGAGTAGTACTCCATTGTGTATATGTACCACATTTTGTTTATTCATTCTTCCATTGAAGGGCATCTAGGTTGTTTTCAGGTTCTGACTATTACAAATAATGCTGCTATGAACATAGTTGAGCATGTGTCCTTGTGCTATGATTGATCATCCCTTGGGTATATGACCAAGAGTGGAATAGCTGGGTCCTGAGGGAGGGTGATTCCCACTTTTCAGGGAAAGCATCATAGTGATTTCCAAAGTGGCTGTACAAGTTTGTATTCCCACCAACAGTGTAGGTATGTTCCCCTTGCTCCACATCCTCTCCAACATAAGCTGTCTTCAGTGTTTTTGATCTTAGCCATTCTGATGGTTGTAAGATGGTACCTCAGAATCATTTTGATTTTCATTTCCCTGATGACTAAGGATATTGAGCAATTCCTTAAATGTCTCTCAGACATTTGAGCTTCTTCTGTTTAGAATTCTCTGTTTAGCTCTATAGCCCACCTTTTCATTGGACTGTTGGGTATTTTGATGTCTAATTTTTTGAGTTCTTTATATGTTCTGGATATTAGTCCTCTGTCAAATGTGGGGTTGGTGAAGATCTTTTCACATTCTGTAGGCTGTCATTTCAACTCACAACTCCAGGGAGGCTACCTAGTAAAGAAGAATCTAAGAAAAAAAAAAACAGGGATCACCAAACAACAGAGAAATAGATGAGATCTACATGAGCAAACTGGGGTTGGAGGGGTAAGGGAGGACAAGGGTCGGGGTATAGAGATTAGGGGAGAGGGGGTTACAGCTGGATCAGGAGAAGAGTGGGAGAACTGAGAGGGAGATACCATGATTAATGAAGACCCCAGGGGAATAAGAACAAGCAGAGTGCTAGAGAGGTCGCCAGAAATTCACAAAGAAACCTCCAATGTAGACTACTAGCAATGGTTGAGAGTGTGCCTGAGCTGACCTGCTCTGCTGATCAGATGACCAAACACCCTGGCTGTCATGATAGAACTCTCATTCAGTGTCTGATGGAAGGGGATGCAGAAATCCACAGCTGAGAACCAGGTGGAGCTCCAGGAGCTGCTATTGGAGCTCTCTCCAATAGGCGAGAGAGGAGGAATTGTATGAGCGAGAGATATTGAAACCATGATTGGAAAAAGCACAGGGACAAATAGCCAAACTAGTGGAAATGCATGAACTGTGAACCAATGGCAGAGGAACCCTCGTGGAACTGGACCAGGCCCTCTGGATAAATGAGACAGTTGATTAGCTTGAACTGTTAGGGAGGTCCCCAGGCAGTGGAGGCAGGACCTGTCCTTGGTCAATTGGCTGGATTTTTTGGAGCCTGGGGCCTATGCTGGGACAGTTTGCTCAGCCTTGGTATAGGGAGGAGGGAACTGGACCTGCCTTGACTGAGTCTACCAGGCTGGGCTGACTCCCCAGGTGAGACCTTGCCTTGGAGAAGGTGGGAATCGGGGATAGATTAGAGGGTGGAGGGTTGGGGGTTGGAGGAGGGAAGATGGGGAAATCTGTGGCTGATATGTGAAATTAATTATAAAATAAAAATACTATCAAAAAATTGAAAGACTAAGAAAACAAACAAACTAACTAACAAAAAGATTCAACATCCTAGCTAATTTTCCCAAAATTTTACAAATGAACAAACTTTTGGTTATTATTAAAATAAAAAAAGGCTTAAATTTAAAAAAGTATATAATGTATTTTGTTAAACACTTAAATATTTAATTTCCATGGATTCATTTGGGATATATTGATCCTCTTTGTCCAGGATCTTTGAGGATGAAAAGAATTATGAAGTATGATGTTTTGTTGTACTGTTATGGTAACAGTCTGTCTTCTCTGAAATATTATTCATATATCTTATTATTCAGAATATGAAAGATATATGCTGCTTCATCCCATACAGTACTTTCCATTTTAAAGACACTTTTCTTTTAAAAATATTTTCCTTTTTCTTTCTTTCTTTTTTTTTTTTTTTGAGACAGGGTTTCTCTGCGTAGCTTTGCGCCTTTCCTGGAGATCACTTGGTAGCCCAGCCTGGCCTCGAACTCACAGAGATCCACCTGGCTCTGCCTCCCGAGTGCTGGGATTAAAGGCATGCGCCACCACCGCCCAGCTAAAAATATTTTCTAATAATATAGTTGGAACATGTTTCTCATCTCTCAACAAGTTCTAGCACCTTTTTTCCTCATTACTTCCTAACCCAAATTTATTCTCTCTCTCTCTCTCTCTCTCTCTCTCTCTCTCTCTCTCTCTCTCTGTCTGTCTTCAAACAAATAAGAAAACACAAACAAAAATAACCAAAAAACCTGAAACTCAAAATAAATAAATAAGCTCAAGTGTAGCCCATGCCAGTTAGCAGAACACTAAGAAAAACACCTACCCCATGAACTCTCCTTTACACAAGGTTAAGATCTCAAAGACCAACCCATTGTCATCCCTTCCTGCCAAATGGGCCCATGGAACCATGCCCCTGCCACCACCTCTTGTAGATACTGCTCAGGTCCAGACCATGTAAGTCAGAAGAAAATGTGCAGGCCTTGCCACCCTGAAGAACAGCTGTAGACAAAACCAATCAGAAGAGCTACCATGGTGCAGGCCATGCAAGTCTGAAAATAATACCACATCAGCCAGAGGGAAAAAAAGTTGAACTTAGGCAGAGACTCAAAGCTGGACCAGAGAGCACAATGACCTACAGAACTCTAGATAGGTACCCATCTATGGACATCTACTCTCTCAATGCCCCACAACACTATTCCCCAATCTCCACTCCCCTCCCTATTGTCACTTTCCACTTCCAACTGAAGCAGAGACACTCTGTTGGAATTAAGGCCACTCTAGCCTCCAAAAGTCCATACCCCAATCTCTGATGGAGACTTCCTACTTGACTAGAGGTCACACCTGCTGCCAGAAATCCAGGTCACAATACCAGAGGACCAAAGAGGATACAGACAAAAAATAATTCCAACAAAGACAAACTTAGAAATCAGCACTTAGATGTATAATCACCCCAAACACAGGAACCTTGATACCAGTCTAAGAACAGAATGAGCAACAACCAGAATAATATGTCACCCCAGAGTTCAACAATACTACCACAATATTAGTATTGAATGCTTCAACACAGCTGAAGCACAAGAAAATGACCTTAAAAACAACTTTATGACGATGATAGAGGTCCTTAGAGAAGGAAAGGAATAAATCCCTCAAAAAATTCCATAAAAACACCAACAAATATTTGGAGAAAATGAGTAAAATTGTTCAAAATCGAAAAATGGAAATAGAAGCATTAAAGAAAACAATGAGGGAATTCAGGAAACGTAAAATCTAAGTAAGTAAACAATATACAAAAGATGAAAGTGAGAATCACAGGAAATGAATATAAGATAAAAGAGATAGCTGCATCTGTCAAAAGAAAATGTTAAATTAAAAATAAAAATCCTGACACAAAACATCCAGGGAATCTGGGAATCTCTGAAAGACCAAACATAAGAATAATGGGACTAGAAGGTGAAAAATTCAAGTTGAAAATTGATCTACCTTAAGACTACTATTGGAGATATATCAAAAGGATGCTGCATTGTAACACAAGGACACCTGCTCACCTATGCTCATCACAGCTTTATTCATAATAGTCATAAACTGAAAACAACCTCGATGTCCTTCAACTCAAAAATGGAGAAAGAAAATGTGATACATTTATACATTAGAGTATTACTCAGCTGTTAAAATGGCATCATGAAATTTCCAGGCAAATTCATAGAACTAGGAAAATTCATCCTGAGACAAGAATGGTTTGTATTCACATACAAGTGGATACTAGCTGTAAAATAAAGATTAATTTTGCTACAATCCATGGATCAGAAAGGGCAAGTAAAAAGGAGAGCTCAGGGGAGGGGGGGGGGTGCAGGCATACCCCTAGGAAATGAAAATAGACTAGATTTCTTGAGTGAATTAGTAGAATGTGGGGGTGTAACAAGAGAAATTTGGTGCAGGGGGATGAGTAGAGGAAGAGAACATTGGGAGAGATGACAGAAATTAGGGGGCACTACTAGGGCTATGAAGAAACCTAATGTAATGTGTAAACTACCTGGAATCTAAGAGGGAGACGCTAGTGAAGACTCCTAGTAATGGAGTATATGGCGCCTGAACTGGCTGTCTTCTACAAGCAGGGGAGTTTTGCTGTGGACAGATGAGGACAGCTACACAGCCCCAAAAGCTTTTATCCAAAATCTGTCCTGCACACAAGATGTTCTTGAGTACAGGTGGTGCAGAACTTGTGGGGGTGGATGATCAATGACTGGTCCAACTTGACTTTCTCTACCTCTTCTTTTGCATAGAACTTAAAACTTGAAGAAAAAAGTTTGAGGAAGACATCCATTAAGGGCTGAGTACCCTAATGTGTCTTACTTTCTAGACATTGTCCAGCTGTGGATCTCTGTTTTATTTCCAATGTTTTGCAAAAAGAAACTTATTTCATGAAATATAAGCAAGGCACTGATCTATATGTATAGCAATATGTCAAAGGACCCTTTTCATTGTTATGTTTCCTTATCCAAATAACATTAACAGCTTTTCCTCTAGACACATGACCTATCTATTCTCATATTCTTTCCTCTTTAGCAATTCCAGATATGGGTTCAATCTTATGGAGTGGCCCTTATATACAATTTTGTAATACAGTCAGTTACTCCCATAACATTTGGACTGCTATTGCACCAATATTTTTTTTAGTCAATTTGCTATTGTAGGTCACCAAGGTTTTAGGTGAATGATATTGATGGTTAATTGTATCCTATGATTATATGTAGAGTATCTTCTATCATCATGAATACTATTCAGCAGATGTGAAGTTTCCAGTAAGGCAATGAGTTGATCTTTTCTGCATTTGATGATGTTAGTGTTATCTTCAGAAAAATGCCCCTAAAAAGTTTGTAGAGAGCAACCCATAATCTTTCAAAAGAATGTGATATTTAGGGCCCTCATGAGACTTCTTTGGCCAATGATTCAACATGATGTAATCTACTGTTAGCACTGAAGGTTTTACTTGGGTCATTGATTCCACTATTACATCATGCCTCCATTTAGATTCCTTTGATATATGTACATGTTTTCAGAAGCTTCTACGGTGGTAATTTTCCACTTGGCTTTTCAAATAACCTTACTGTTAGTTGTAACTCCCCATATTCCATCCTTCATCATTCTCTCTCATTCCCTCCTCATTTAATCTTCCTATTTTATTTTCTGATGTATCTTTCTATAATACTATATACTATTTTCCCTTCCTTGGGAGATCCTCTTCTCCACAGTGGTCCTTTACTAGGCACATAATCTCTGTGGTTATTTGGATTTTTTTTTCAACTTCAACCATCATCTGCAGTTTTTATATTTTTTCTAGATAGCTAAAAAATATTTCATTATATATATGTACCCCATTTTAACTATGCATTCATCAGTAGGTGGAAGGTATTTCTAATTATTATAAATAGAACATTAATGAATATGGATAAGCAAATATATATGTTGCATGCTTTTTCAAGTATACAAGTTAAAGAGTGGTATAGAGCTTGATTGATTCCCAGATCTCTGAGGAACCTACATACTGATTTCCATATGGCTGTACCAGTCTGGACTCCCACCAGTGATAAATAAGTTTTCCCTGTTCCTGCATCTTTTCCTTCATGTACTATCATATGTTTCATTAATATTAAACTATGAGTACTTAATTCCTTCATAAATCTTTGTAAAATGCTGACTTTTGGCCAGGCATTATATCACATAAAAGATTTTTTAAGGTTTGTTCTTGGAACATCTTAAATACTTTTTAAAAAATGAAAAAAAAATATACATGGGCTTTTGTGTCATAGAAGTTACACACGTCTAATAAGCATATGGATATCAATAAATACATATGCTTAATTCATCAATAACTACCAATTGAACATGAAGGATCAAATGAGAAAAAGAAAATGAAAGTAACTTTAAACTCACTTATGAAGGACAATTTGCTGAACCAGGATCATAAGCTAAGTCTTGGGGAAGGGAAAACAGAGTAGACTGGCCTAAATTATGGAGCAAATATAAAAGAAATTCCTTTTTAAATTGGGAAAAATTAAGGCTACCAAAACACTTGACTGACACCTACTATAATATTGTATTAAAGGTATAGTCATATTTAGTGACCTGATACAATCATAAACATAATTAGTGCTTAATTTTACCATTATTACAGTTCTCTTTTTTAGTGGCTAG